TATAGACAGTATTTCGCTGTTTCATATACAATTTTCACTTAGTCAAAAATAATCATTTTAATGAGTCACAGAAAAGTCATTTTAATGCATCACCCAACAAGCATTTTGAGGCATTTTTTGTGACAGTTTTACATCATTATAATTATGTACATTTGAAGACATTTTAATACCATTTTATCATTTTCTTCCCTGCCTGGGTAATACGATTAATCACGATTTTCTATGAACTATTGTGAAAATCGTCTAAATCACCGCGTTTTTTACAATGTGAGGTCAAGCCTAGGGTATTGCAGAGCAGTCCATCATGATTCATTAGTTAATTTTAAATAATATCCTTGACTTATTTTGATATGTTTCGTCCATTGACGTTGTTATCATGACTCTAGTCACAAGCTACTATTGGCTGATTTTTTTTCTCGAAAAAGATGAAAGTTTAATTTTGGTAGAAATTTTTTACATTGTAATGAATCTTTGAACATAGTATTTCATGAATTGATCCAACTGTAGAGAAAGCTTTAGTACTGACCCCTCCAATCAATTGATAATTATTGGACGCATTTTGTTTCTAATTTTTTAGCTTGCCCAACGAAAAAATAGATTTTTACCTGTCCTTCGGGATGCTTTTGCTGTTCTCCCTTTCCTTTTTCTTCACGATAATCATGCATGCGTGACTGTAGCACGGCACATATTACACAACGCAGTATAGAAACACGTTTATTTACGTGCCATTATGGATATTAATGTACAAGCAAATATCGATCAAGAAACTTTAACGTGCCCGATTACACTTCAAGTCTTTCGTGATCCAGTCATAGCTAAAGATGGTCATGTTTATGAGCGTGCAGCCATTGTCAAATGGATTGAGAAACATGGAACGAGTCCACTTACTCGAGAAGCACTGTCTATTGATGATTTACAAGGAGATGACTACTTGAAATATCTGGCTGCTCAGCGACGTACGTCGACAATATCTTTTATCTCACAAAATAACAGTTTGATTCTTCCTAATACCTATGGAAACGGTAGTCGGAGTACAACCCCTTCTGGTAGCGTGACTAACATTGGCAACCGTTCTTTGTTAAAACAGAGGAATTGGTATTTCCGACTTTATTGGATCTCTATATTTATCACAATTGTTATCGTCGCCATCATAATAGGATTCGTCGTAGGCTTGAGACCAAAACACAATTCAACCAACGATTATTCGACCAGCGACACTTCCATCAACGAGAATCCCACCACTGGAAATTATCGAGAGAGTACGTTATTTAAGCTTGCACTCACACTCAATAAGTTGACTTCACTTCTAAAGGAATTTCTAACGAATCCGTATACTAAAATTATCTCTATTGAAATATAAATCTGAATATTTCACCAGGGTGTGGATCTGTATCTTGTTGTATGTTTATATGATTTCTTTACCCATACACACATACCCTGAAAGTACGACTTTCTGTGCTAAGCCAAATGTTTCCGTAAGCTCTAGATGCATATGTGATAATGTTATGAGAAGAAATCAGGAGAACTGGGAAAAATGATATCTTGTGTATCGATCAGAGATTTCGTCGGTCTTCAATTTGTGTTGAGTGTTTTTGAATTAAGTTGGATATGAAATATAATGCTAGAGAAAAATGTACTCTACAAAACCATCACATGGTTCGAATTTTTAAGTTTAGTTTTTATCAATTTTTTCTTTGAAAAAAAAGTTTCCATTGATTTTTAAAAAAATTAGTTAGTTGAAAAGACCACTTGTACATGTTTTCCTAGGAAATATGAGACTGCTATTTTAATGACTTTCATGAACTCTTTTGTTCTATATTTTTATAACGTACTTGGAATAGTTTATCAATTTAAAAAAGTGAAGTTTGCTGAATTCTGCGTTCTCTATTGATAATATTCAAATTTTGAAGCCAAATTTAGGGGTATAGAATGAGATTTTATTACGAAAATGTAGAGCACAAAATATTGCAACGATGTGCAGAATTTTTATTTCTCGAAGCGAAAATGTGGAGGTCAAGAAAAGTGACAAGCAAAAAGGGTTTAACGTTTTCGTGCTGAATACAGATTGAAGTCAACTTAAAAAATGCAACTTTGAGTCAACAAAGATCGTTCTATACGGAAAAGGATAGCGAAAATGATTTATACTTTGATCGCCGATTTCATATAATGATGAATCAGTTGTGATAGTTGAGGAATTATGATCTTCAAAACGTTGATGATTGAAGTTTAGTAGCAATAGAGTCAGGATTAGATTTCTAAAATGATAATGACGTTCTAATTTTTATTATAGGAAAAGAGTTAGTGAAAATCATTGTATTGAATGCGGAAAATTTTTTAAGGTGGTATTGTTTTGTTTGGCTTTATGTTTGCTACTCGTTGCAGAAAAATTAGTGGAAATACATATTGTGTTTTTTAAATTTTAAATTTTATTCAAAACCGTGCTCATTGAAATCCATGGTTTTCTGTTCGAATAAAAATTCAGTCTATGAACAGGACCTAGGCATATGTGGCTCATTGAGACCTCTGATAGAAACAGATTTAGTTTCAGTTAAGTGTAGTTATGATTCATATTTATAAATATGTATAAATATATATGATTTATAACTATGAATAACTAAAATGAGATCTTCAGCTATAAGTAATTGCATGCTGAAGTTTTTTGAAATCTTTGTTAATATTCGAATTCAAATCAGGCAATCACTCTATGAATTGAATAAAATATGAGAATTTTGAAACGATGCGTTGTTAATCAATGAAGAGTACTCTTTTGTATCACACTCATGTCAATGTTCAACAAAGAAACGATACAATTAGAAAGCTAGAATTCTTTTTTTTTCTAAAATGGTATAATATTGACAGCATGAAAACTGTACAACACAATCAAATATAATTCGCATTGATAAATGCAGAAGTCTTATTTACGAATCAGTAGTTAGTGGGTGTAGGCATAGGTCGTGATGGCCAAGATCCATAGCCACAACCTATACTCATCTCTAAAGAGACTTTTTTTACTTTTAGCTACTACCAAACAACCAGATCCCATTGCTACAGTATGTCCAGCAAACCAAGTATCTATAATCACTGTTGAATACAATCAAGAGATTAATTTCGCTACATATTTCACCAAATGTCCATCCTGTGCCAATATCACTGTTAACCATAACGGTAGACTACACAATGTTTGTTCAACTCAAGAACTTAACATTACAGCAAATGGTAATGGCATCGTATCAATGAAATCATCATCCGTCTGCCCACGACTCGTTAATATCACTACTGATGGAAATGCGCGAGTATACAATATTTGTGTGTCAGATCAGTTAAATATTCTATCGGCAATTGGAATCAATGTGATCTCAATGAACTACAACCAACCGTCATCATGTCCAAAAATCGTGAATATTCTGAATGGAGGTGGCATTTCAGATTTTTATGTGTGCGCAACGCAAGCAATCAATGCGAATCTCAGTACTATCGCACGATTGTACTATAAAGGACCATTGAATCATATTGAAATAACCGGTTTAGCATCGGTACACCAGTGGGTTTAGTGTTGATGCTTTCAAAGCAAAAGCACATACTTCAAAACCTCTCAGACTTTTCTTTCTTTTGATAACTACACTTTTTTTCGCGTTTCAACAAATTTTCTACTCATCACAGTACTGCAAGAATCCAAAATTGCCACGGTCGCACTAAAACTATCTTAAACTACTAGAAAAGGAAAATAAATCTTGTATGCTGACCTTCATTTTGAGGGTGTGGATGTGCATATCGTAACGGCAGACTGGGTGGAATAGCATGCGGCCACTCTCAACGACACTGTTTATTTGCTACTTCATCTCTCCAGAACGTATTTACTTCACATTGAACGCAAGCTTATATAGAAGAGAACAAGAGAGAATAGAGCAAAAGGAAATAGCGACAGAGATAAGATATGGAGAACAAAGAAGAGTCAGTGAGAAGTGGTATCAGCATAGGAACAGATATCCTTTTGGAAATTCATTCACATCCACACCTTAATGGTAGTGTGAAGAATAAGTTTTAGGTGACAATAAAAAACTAACATGCGGACTAAAACATACTTCGAGTCTTTGAGAAGGACTCAATCATGTCTAATTCTGTCACTTTATTTATTTCTATTTTGGCTTCGAATCTAATTCATTTTTTATAATCATGCAAAAAACTGTTATCCCATTCTTCGTTCTCTTATTATAATAAATTTCAATATGTATTGCCAAGGAAATAGTTACCATTCAATTAAACACAACCTATGATTATTGAAATAAGGAATTTAGAAATTAAAAGCAATCATTAGTCACCTAGCGCTTAGCTTTTATATAAGTTGAAAAGAGAATTGCTGTCATATGTGAAAATATGAAGCTACGATAAACTTAGTTGATGTTCTTAACAATTTATATCAAATCAAAACTAATCGTTGATAAATACATCGGTTTCATAATACTTGTTTGGAAAACTATCGAAGTTTAGGCTAAAATGATTTGTTTATCACTGTTACCAAGTAAGCACAAGACGAGCTAAATGACTCGTCTTTTTTCTAGTCATGCCGACCCGTCATGCCCGGTGTTTGTCTCAAATTCGACTAGGACATGACTAGTCCGGGATTTTTGGCCGTCATGAAGCCCCATCTAAATCACATGATTGACGGGTGACATTTCATGTGTCTAGTCTAGTCTTGGTTTGAGAAAGACTCATCTAGGACTGGTCTGAAGTCGGTTGATATGGAACATCATTATCTAATATGCAGACTAGTCGTAGACGAGGATTTTTTTAGACAAAGACTAGTCAGGACGGGTGGCAGGGACGTCCGTCCGAAAATGATTTAAAATTGAAAAAGTAAGCACGTCAGGGATGGTACATAGGACGAATTGTAGCCTTATATAGTGGACGAGTCCGGACTAGTCTAAATGGAAATATTTAAGGATGGAGGTTAGATTTGAACATGCATACAATGTATCACTTATCCAGCGTTTAGACCATTGAGCCGTAAGATCAAAAGATCAACTTCTACATGTTCATAATCATTCTAAGACGTTATTTAACACACGTTTACTCAAAGTTTTTTAAGTTTTCATATGATTAAAAAATTATCTTTTACAGAATACGAGATTATTTAGACAACATGAAAAAAATAAATTTAAATATTTTATATTTTTTTGGAGGAATATCTTTTAATTATTATCACCTATGGATAATTAGTTTCGTTAAGAAAATAAATTTTAAATGCAAAAACAAAAAACTATTTATATTGAAAAGAAACTAGATTTTTTCATATAATCGTTTAGTTTAGTTTTAAATTTAGATTATCGTATTTTCAACTCACAATCCAATTCACTTTGCTTTATTCAGATTTATTCTTAAAGGGGTGTGGGTGGGTGTGAGTGTGGGTGTGTGGGTGTGGGTGTGGGTGTGGGTGTGGGTGTGGGTGTGGGTGTGGGTGTGGGTGTGGGTGTGGGTGTGGGTGTGGGTGTGGGTG